ATTTCACTGAATGCTGTCTGAATATAGTGGTAGGTGAGTATGAGAGCAGGTTAAATGCAATTATGGAAGAGGTGGGGCGACTGGGTAACGAGTGCTCTTGCCTCGGTGACTTCCAACGCAAAATCTGCGAAATGGGGCTCGCCGATCACTGACACTCGGGGCCATGGCCTCGGTGACTTCCAACGCAAAATCTGCGAAATGGGGCTCGCCGATCACTGACACTCGGGGTCATAAGTCTTCAGTTGACACCTGCAAAATCGCTGTTTTAAAGACATCGATGGCTTCTTCTAGCGACTGGAATCGGTGCCCACGCATTGTATTCGTGATCTTTGGGAACGTGAACAAGTCGTTGGGCTATACGGTGAATGGTTGTAACAGTTCGATGTTTTGAAGCTCCAAAAACTATATTGTTTTTTGGGCAGAGACTTGCCTTGTCTGATCTCTTTAACACTCATGTCATCCTCTGATCGTATCACGTGACCTGCCCATCTTATTATGGTTGCCTTAATATAGGAGGTCTATGACTTCGAATCTTTTTTTGAGATAGTCCCATAGATGCTCTATAGGATTCATATCCGGACTGTTAGGTGGCCACTCTAATAATGGAATATCAACATCATTTAGGTAGCCAATAACCTGTCAAGCCACATGAGGACGAGCGTTGTCTTGCATGAATAAAAAATTAGGTCCAAGAAACGGAGCAAAAGGCATTACACGTTCGACAATATGTTGTCTAAGTAATAATGGGCATTCATAGACCTCGTACGTATGGGGACCAACTCCGTACGAGCTTTAAAACAAATTCTCTGGAGCTTTTAGGCCTACTCTAGTCTCATAGGAGAAAAGAACTCGTTTCCAATCATCGATGGTCCAATTTTGATGCAATCTTGCAAAGTTCAATCCCTGTACCCTGTCTTCTCTGGTAAGCAAGGGTTTTTTTGGCCTTGCTCAAATCTGCTTCGTGTAAACGTCTTCTAACTGTTTGAGAGAAGAAGAATATCACGACATTTCGAACATCTGCTTGTTCATTTTTTATCAAATTGCTGGTGACTCTCCTATCTCTGAGAGCACGTTGTCTCAAAGAACGATCATCAATTTGATTAGTGCAACGTTCTCGCCCTTGCCCTGGTCTTCGATAGTACGACCCTGTTTCATTATATCGCCTCACCTTGCGACTGATGCTGGAATGATGTCTTCCTAACAAACCTGCAACGTACCGCATTGAATATCCTTCATCTAGGAATCAATGCTCGCACTGCCTCCTCCATTGACAAATTTCTTTGGTGGTTCATTTTTTAATTTGATTTTTATGCAAATTAACTTCCAAACATGCATGTGATGAAAAATATCACAATAAATAGCTTGTTTCTCACAAGCACTTTGCTTTAATTGGCACTTTTTATGAAAAGTTTAACTCACTTTTAGTCTAAAACAAAGTTTAATACAAATTATTGTTAAAACAAGACTATTATTAGCTTACATAACAACTGTCACTGTCAAACAAGGTCCATAGACAACTTGTCATACAGTAAATTATCAATAAATAAAGATTATTAAGAAAAATATAAGTGGTGCGTTAATATTTGAAACTGCAATTCGTTTCGCATTGGTTTATACACTACACAGTTTATACGTTTTCATTGTTTTATTCATGCAATAAATGTTCATCAATATCGGTCGGATCTATCAACTATTAATAATTTCGCTAATGAAATAATTAGCCGACCGTTCACAAAGTTGCTAAGGAAGTTTTTCTTTCCGATTTCCGTAATTGACGCTATTATTTTTGTAAAATATTCATAGTTTCATAATTACTTTATAATAGTTCCCGTTTGTTCTTTTTGCATAAAGCGGAAGTTGATTCGATTCTGTATTGGTTTAACTCATAATAAGACAAGGCGAAAAACTCGGGTTCGTTCGTAGAAATATTCTCATTAGATTTTTTTTGCATAATCACTTTCCTGAGATGCCCCAAAATAAGGATCCATAAGTCGCTCAGGCTCAGGTTCAAACTTTTTTAAACATTTTTTTTAAACAAATTGTAACAATTTTCGGCTCGGATAAATTGATTTTTTTTTAAGAACAGAAAAGATCTTTTTTAAGTTCTCTAAAGTTGATCGTTTTCGAGTTGAGTATAAAGAATTTAAAACTTAAAAAAAGCCAAATTACGATTTTTAAACTCAAAAACATAACTAAAAAATATTATTTTTGAAATCATCGAATGTCTAAACTCAAGTTCAAGCATCCTTCTATCAGCCCCGGTGACAATTCTGGTCTTATTTTATTTTAAAACATTGTTATTAATTATTGTTAATGCAGCGGGTATGGCAGGGTGGGCGCTCATTTGTACAATGACAATTCACTCTTCTCTCATGTTTTAACCTTGTGCCTCCTCAAGGAGGGCTGCTCCTTTTTTTGCGGAGATTAGGGTTGTGATAAACAACTCCACAATGTGTTAAGGAGCACACTAGAGAAATTTTTTGGTCAGCCAGATAAGCCAAGGAGATGTACTACAAGGTGCTACCAGCCATACTAAGGGTTATAGATTAGCAGTTTTGACTTGAAGTTGTTAACTGCGGTATTTTAGGGGATTGCTTCTAGGACGTCGAAATACTCATCAGGAAGTTCGTTTCCAGTGTTCTGTAGAAGCTTTGATGGAAGATATGAAACTTTTCTTTGAGGAATCCTGGTGAGTATTTGCCCACGGCGATGGCAAGGAGTTTTGAGTGTTTGCTTGGCTCTGTTGTTTGAGCCAGCTATAGTGCGGAGGACATATCTCTTGCTGAGGGATCGGGATATGTCCTTAATCGGTATTATGTTTGCTGGTGGAATAGTCCTGACCCTCGCTCGTGCCAAATCTGAGGATTTCCCTTTCGGTGGCCATAATGTAGTTAATTTCACGGGCATTTAGCGAAACATAAACGCATGGCTTATATTCGATTATTGGTCTTAGTAAGTCTTGTAGATGTGCAATAGTGTTTTATTTGACATGTTTCCAAGTTTATCAGACAACGCTAGCAAAAGCTTTGCCCATTTTCTTACTCTGTCTAGCGTGTTTTGTATGTCGGTCTTCCAGTTGAAAGTCCTACGAAAATGAACTCCCAAACAGGACACCGATTTTCTGAAATCAAGGTTTTCTTCTAGAATGATTATCTGGTATCGAATATCACGGATGTGGGGAGATTTGATTAAGATTAGTTGAGTTTTGGAGGCTTTAATAGTAACTCTTTATTTATTGCTCCACTCAACAATTCTATTTAAATAATTTTGAACTCTATCGAATACAGACAGTTGTCCCAACGTCTCTCTGTATTGGCCCGCAGTGAGGAGCGCAGTGTCGTCGGCAAATAGCAATAGGGACTCCTAGCTTGAGGGCGGGGAATGTCACTGTTGTAGACTGTGTGCAATATTGGAGTTAGAATTGAGCCGTGGGATTCTCCCAGTGAATTTGTGCAGTGAATGGTGTGGATAGCATGTTGCCAACTTTGATCCGGATAGTCCGATTAGAGAGATAAGAATTTATTAATTTAACAAATCTTGTGAGCAGTCCAGCAAGGTAGAGTTTTCCAATCAGAGCTGTGTGCCAGACCTGATCGAAGGCTTTCTGGACGTCTAAGAAGATGCCTATGCCGTATCTCTTTTCGTTGATTATGATATAAAGGTCGCTGTTTCAAACAATGCATTTTGAGCGGAACGTTCAATGAATCCGAATTGATAGTTTCGAATGGTGAAGTCTAGGAATTCTACGAGTCTCTCTCTCCTTAAGGATCCTTTCGTACGACCACCTAAGTTACACATCTGTCTGAAGTTGTCCTCTGTCATAGGAGCTACCATAGAATGAGGATGGGGCGCCATGTGAGCCTGAGGGCAGTAGAATAATATATCTTTCACTCTCCGTAGGGCTACCCTTTTGAATGAGAATTCAAACCTATCATAAGCGATTCATTAAGATTAAAAACCAATGTTTTTAAAAATGAAATATGCTAAAATACTTATCGGAAATTAGAGAACAAGGTTTGAACTTAAATTTAGGTCCTGCATGAATTCAAGAATTCAATATTTTTTACTTGCATTTTTGAGCCTTGAAATACGGTATTTTTTTGTTTTTTTTTTCAGTTTTTAATTGTTTGTAACTCGAAAACGACCAAGTTAACAAAAAAAAAATACAGGAGATCTATTTTGTTCAAAATGATCCATAAAAGTAAAAAAAATTGCCCGGGTCAAAAAAATTGCTTGTTACAATTTATTTAAAAAAATTTGAACAACTTTTCGTCTGAGCTACTTCTTGAACCTTATTTTGGAATATATCATGAAAGTGATTATGCAAAAAAATCTCATGGGAATATTTTTCCTAACGAACACGAGCATTTCGACTTGTCTAAATTAATATACAGACCGAGTTTAAAGCTTCCCCATCCCACAAAATTTTATAAACCACAAAACTTTAATTCATAATTTTTTGGGTAATAAGGCACTGTTTGTAGTTTTTATAACGCTTCAATGAAAGCCCGGCGCCATTTTTCAAAATTATTTTAAATGGGATCATTGGGAAGTAATACCTTTATTGAAAAATCGGCTCAATTATATATACACAGTTATCAGTTTGATCACCAAAATCTTCTAGATTCATTTCTATGATATAACTAGCCATCTTATATTCTGAACAACAAAATTTGTGCTAACAGTTTTTTTTTTACAAAAGAACTAGTATTCTTTTATTGTTTTTTATGACATTAACTGATGCAATAATTAAAAAAGCATTTTGGAAAATATCAATGGGATCAAACATATTTAATTATGTAGGTGGGTGTAAGAACTTAAGAACTTTAGCCATCAAATTTGTTTTACTTAACACTAGTAACCTCACGTTGATCACCGGAATGTGATCTTGTTCCTTTAGTGAACTTTTTTGAGTTTTTACGTATGAATTTTGATTTGACTTAGATCTATTGCTAATTCTTGATTATTTTTTATGTATGTTATATTAGTATGGTACTTACCACTCCCCATTGACTGTCCAAGGTAGTCGCCGTACCAGTCGGTTCCTCCTTGGCTGTCCTCAGGCCTGTGACGGATACGATTTTCGCTTTGGCCGGCGATAACCGGCTACCGGGTCGCGTGTTAAAAGGAAAATACGGACTGTCGGCCGTAAAGGGTTCGGCGGGTGCTTGCGTCGGGCTGGCACCCGGCCCTGTGTACACTGGCCCGGCGGGGTTTAACGCGTAAGCCTGAAATGAAAAAAAAAAAGGTCAATAAATGTGAAAGTAAGCCAAAAAAAATAGCGGTGGTGGAGAGTAAAAAACATGAAATGATATAATTCACGACATAGGTAACTAGGAACAACCATCAGACCTATACAGATTTAAACAGAATCATACAATTAATTCTTTTAATGAGTATTCTATTCAAAATATATTTCACTGATCTTAATTACACTAAAAACGCCTTAAAAAATATTATTACACATATATTAAACAAACCAAATATAAATATCGCTCTATCCCTAACCTGACAATTAAAAGCTGCACAGTCAATATTGACACGCTTTACTAAATAACCCAAACTACTTTACAAAACTTATAAACAAAAACAACTTTATAAATGTAATTAGTTACTGTTTCGTTTCAAAACTTTATATCTCTGTACTATGTTCTCAAATTTTAATAAACCGCTAACTTTTAATTTACCCGGATACTCTCATATCAATTCCCTTAATTCCAAAGCTAAGCTCCTTCTTTGGATCTGCTCCCAAAACGAATCTCGATCTCACGCCCTAACCAAAATGAGCCTGCTACCAATTTTTCAAACGCTTTCGAAAACAAAATTTCTTTTTTATTCACACAACTTAATTTTATTCTACCGTTCACATTCACCGGCATTCAATCTCTTTTTCTTTTCTTACCTTTTTGTGCCAAGGAACATTCTGCCTTTTCCTTTGTTTTTAAAATCCCATCAAACATACAACTTCTCCCCTCTCCATTTTCAACCAATGATTTTGTAGTATTTCAAACAAACACAGAGAATTCTCATGTTCTACGAAATTCATCAATTAATATTTTATTGTCGATACACACCCAACAATAACATCTGCATGCTGCCTTATAATCCCCCCTAAAAAACAATCTCAAAAGGTTTTCCCCCAATTTTGAAACGAAACACTTTCTATTCGTAAAAAATTTAATCAATGCTACTGCTTCTTCTTCATCCTCTTTTTGCTTGTTCATTGACGGATTAATACCTCTATGGAAGATTGTCACTCCATCTTTTGCGCGGTCGTCCGATACTTCTTCCGCCGATTGCGGACTTATCTCTTGCTATTTTGACGACACGAGTCTTCTCCATTCTGCCTATGTGGTTATTCCATTCTTTTTTCTATTTTGTGTCCATTTACTTATACATTGTACCTTACATTTTCTTCTAATGTCTTCACTTCTCTTTCGATCCCTCAGTGTATTTACTGTAATTCTTCTCAGTACTCACATGTCTGCAGTTTCCAGTAGCCATTGCGTTGTGGTTGTGTTGGGTCTTGTTTCTGAGGCATATGTCATTATTGGTCTTACACTAGCTTCATAAATTCTCGTCATCATCTCAGTGATAATGTGTCTGTTTCGCCATGTAGTGCATCTCTCACTTCTTTGTCCAGGTCTCCATAGCTAGACAGTGTAATTCCCAGATATTTTATTTCCATTACTTGTCCAATACATCTGTTTGGGTTTTGCTGACGACTATTGTTTTAGTTTTCTGAGATGAGATGGTCATAATAAATTCTTTTGCTCCTATGCTAAATCTGTGGACCAGCCTTTGCAGACTATCTTTATCTTGGGCTATCAATATTGCGTCATCTGCGTAACAGAGTATTTTAATTTCTGTGTTTCCCATTCTGTATCCTCTTCCTTTGTTAACGCTTTTGATGATTTCATTCATGATCAAATTAAAGAGCATGGGACTCAATGAATCTCCTTATTTTATTTCGCTGCCTATTTCTATAGCTTCTGTAAGTTGTCCATCTATTCTGACTTCCATTTTGTTGTTTTGGTAGATGTTTTCGATACTTTTTATAATATTTAATAAAACATCTCTATTAAGTTTTAGCGTAGTATTTAACTAGTTTATACCTCTGTAGTTTTCTGGCTATTTAGCTCCTTATTTTGAATAGTTTTTGCATGTACAAACCTATTTAGATAATTTTTTGCAAACAACAACAGTTCTACACAAATTTTTTGTTATTAACCCATTCGCTGCCTTGTTCCAAATTTGGAACGATTGTTAGTTCGCTGCTGATTACAAGATGTCACTGTTGGTCTTAAATCTGATAAACTATTTTGTTCGGTAGTGTCAAAACAACACGTCCATACTGAATTTACTCACTGGTTTCGTGTAAGTGGAATTTGTTTTGTGATTCATATCAAAATTTCAAGGAAGGTGCAGTTATTTTCTGTTGTGAAATATTACGATCGGGGTAAGTTTAAGAAATATTATATGCCTATACAATGTATCTGTACCGTTTAAATGCTTAACCTCAAATTAAATATACCGAGTAACCTCTAGTTTTTGCATGTTCCAAAAATGGAACTTGGCGGTATATGTTGCTAATTGAGGTTTTTCTTTTTAGTTTGGTATTATGGATCTGAAAACATTCTATGGAAAGAAAACGAGTTGTTCAGCTGATACTCTGAACAATCTAATCGATGATCTAAATAAGAAGCAGAAGGAGTTTAATTCTGCAAACATATACATTTATCCTCCAGAGGAAGATTCTGATGGAGATTCTGAATCATCGGATGATGTGAATTTCAATAATTTTTCTGATAAGTTTTCATCAAAGATACTGAACGCCACAGCTGAGGCAACTCTTATTTCACAATGTGAGACACAACACGCTGAAGATATGTTCTCGACGAGCGATGATGAACTTCCAATAAATGTGGGTCAATCTAATAAAAGAGCGAATAAATCCAATAGACAAAACGACTAGAAAAGAGGTGACTTGTTCCCAGATAATCATCAAGAAAATATCTCACTTTCAAATCGAAATAATGTTCACTGTGAAAGTGCAGTCGATTTCTTTACACTTTTTTGGTGTGATAATTTCTTTGAATACATAAAATACGAGACTATAAAGTATGTCCGACACAAAAATGCAAACACATCATTTGAGGCTACGATTGAAGAACTCAAAGTATTCTTTGCAATCCTACTGATTTCTGGTTATTCCCAAAGGCCTCGGAAAGATATGTACTGGAGTTTGGATTTGGATCTCAGAAACGAAGCAATCGCCAACGCAATGCCGAGAAATAGGTTTAGAGAAATTTTGCAAAATTTACATTTTTCAGATAACACTAAGCTACAAAAAAATGATAAGTTTGCTAAAATAAGACCACTCATAGAACATTTACACAGTTCATTTATAAAATATGTGCCGGTTGGTGAAACTATATCCGTACTGCAGCCACCATAGCTGTAAACAGCGTCTTCAAGGGAAACCTATTAGATATGGATTTAAATTTTGGTCTGAGAATGTATCAAATGGTGTGGGTAATCTTGTGGGTACCGAACCTTACCAAGGGAAAGGAACCTTACTAGGAGACAGTAACTTGGAGCTAGGTGGATCTGTAATTACAACTTTTGCCGAGAGGGTGAAGCATAATTTTCCAGATCAAAAATTTTACTTTTTTATTGACAACTTTTTTACCGGACTTCCACTGATAAAGGCCATGAGTGAATTGGGATGTGGTCGCACGGGCACCATTAGACATAATCGAATTGGGAAATGCGCGTTGAATAAAAATGCAATGAAAAAATCAGTTAGAGGATCCGCTGATTCATACACAAATTCTGATGAAGATATAATAATTATCCAGTGGAAGGATAATGCCATCGTTCACGTGGCTTCAAATTGTTATGGTGTTCAACATACAAAATCGGTACGTCGTTATTCTGCAGCAGAAAAAAAATATATAATGGTAGACGTTGCCTATGCAATTCAGCAGTATAATACTCATATGGGAGGTACTGATTTAATGGATAGAAATATCGCTAACTATAGACCAAAACTGCGTAACAATAAATGGTGGTGGCAAATTTTTGTTCGCCTTTTGTCTGCTTCAATCTCTAACGCATGGATTTTATATAGAATTCAACACCACAATAACATTCAATCTAACGCTGACGAATTCGTTGAAAGTATGCGTCCATTGGATTTATTAGGGTTTACAAGAAGCATTGTGGCAACATATCTACTACTCAACCCTCGACAACCAAAACCTGATAAGACAAAATTAGAAACAATATTTCGAAAATTTCCAGGATCTGTTTCACAAAATATGTCGGTTCTGCATTACCCAATTTCTTTAAAATAAAACAGATGCAAAATTTGTAAAATTAATGTACATCCTATTATTTGCTTCAAATCTTTTCATGAAAAAAATTAATAGATCCTCTAAAAATGTTATCATTTTTTTATCAATAAATGTTTAAGTTTAAATTGACGTTGTTGATTTTTTATTACCTATTTATGGCCATGTTCCAAAATTGGAACAAAAAATTTTTTAGACTATTGTGAAAAGATTGGGAATTTTTTAAATATTTTTCTATAAGTTCATAACATAAAATTGACCTATAGAAGCTATAAAATTAAAAAAAAAAAGTTTGGCAGCGAATGGGTTAATGTGTAATAGTGTCTTAAATTACACAGCATTATTTTAAGTTTATTTTGGTATTGAAGTATTCAAAAGTTTGGCTTAAGTGTTTTTTTATTTCACCCCCCTTTTTTTTAAATTGCAATAACAAAATGATGACACCAGAAAACATAGAACAAGCTGCTGCTTTACAGGATGCTGGGCGAGCATTCGTTACATCGCGAGTGATTGATGAATTTCTCGAATTACAGTATTTGATGCAAAACAAAGTTTTCGGATAACAGAACAATACACTGGAAGGGCAGATCAAAGTACACAAACAACCACAAGTCAAGTTGAAGATCGCTTTATTAGATTGCAAGCGTTCGCACGATCGTACATTATCAGCACCAGTACTTGTTCAACGATTAAATTATGTCCATAAAAACCCAGTTTCCCTTTATACCGTTCGAAGATGCTTAAATGAATATGAATTAAGGCCCAAAATACTTGTTAAAGGCCCTCTATGAACAACTGAATCACAATGAACAGCAGATTATCGGAGCCAACGTTTCTCGCATTCATTCATTCGTACACTTTTCTCGCATTCA